CGTCTGACGTCTCAGCTCTCTCTTGTTGCTAACCCTCAATGTATTTACACAGAAGAGGACTGCCCTGGAGGTTGGCAGCTGACCCATCCACTTACCAAGGGAATTACAGGAGTCTTTTTTAAAGAGTGCCATTTTTTTTTTCTTGCACATTTCCAACTCTGAGATGAAGAACCTCAACATGATTGAGGTTTGGGGGACTGGTTGCCAAGAAGGACGGGCTACAACTTGGATGATAAAGAAGGACTTTATTTGAAGTCTGAGAGAGGAGGTACCCCTTGCTGGGAGGGAAGGTGTGCGGAGGCTTGGGTTTTCCTCTTTCAGAGTTTATCTGTAAGGCTATCTCTAAGGTTGCAGTAAGACTCAGAATAAGATGGACACTGCTTGAGGAGTGCTCTCCAAAGCACAATTTTATTCCTAATCAGGAACAATTTCTCTCATTTTCTATCCAATGTCCAAGTGCAATGGGGGAGCTGGGGTCTGCTTGCCTACTCTAGAACTCTCTCGTTCAGGTTTACAGATCCCCTTGAGATGGGCATTATCCTGCAGGTCCACTGTGTCTGAACATGCTCCATCCCCTCTCACTCCCCAGTGCTACCAGCACTTGCTCCCCTTCCTTCTACCTGCTCACACTTCTTAAACGTGGTGTGCACACCACTCTCATTCAGCAGATGTTGTGGGCTGAATTGCGGCTTCACTACCTGTGGATGCATTCACATGCAGTGCCTATGCGGGCATCTGCCACGTGAGCCAACTTCAAGACTGGACAAGAGACATCATGTGAATTCTACGAAACTCGCACTTCCCAAATTCAGAGTCTGTACTGGAAGGTCATTGGAAGCTAATTCCTGTTTGTCCACTGGAAACATGAAAACAGCATTTTACTCTACCCTGCCACCTAAGAATGCTATGACAACATGTATGGAGAGTATCGAACCTGGCTATTCAAAAGATAACTAGAACCAGAGAAAGCACATGTGAATGTGAACTGACTTGGCTATTTTTTAAAAAGATTTTATTTATTTATTGGAAAGTCAGATATACAGAGAAGAGAAGAGACAAAGAGGAAGATCTTCCATCCGATGATGTTGAAGCCAGAAGCTCCACCTGGGTCTCCCATGTGGCTGCAAGGATCCAAGCACTTGGGCCATTCTACATTGCTTTTCCAGATTAGAAGGGGAGCAGCAAGGACTTGAACTGGCATCCATATGGAATGCTGGTGCGGCAGGCTTTAGCCCACATTAAAATGCTGACTGTAATGTGGACTGATTTTTTAAGCTAACAATGGAACCATGAACCAAGCTGAAAGCAGAGAGAAAAAAATCATATTTCAACAGGTGACACTTAGCTTTAAAGTGGTACCCTCTCTGTTTTGATGAACAAAATAGAAGCAGCAACCAACAATTGACCAATCACGTGAACTAGCTAAACCTACAAGGATGCTAATCACGGCAGAGAGGACCCAGCATCGACTAGAAGAAGAAGTATCAGGGTGCTTCCATTGTGGGGACAACTGCAGCAGGACACATGGCTGTGAGTCTGGTGCAGGCTTCTTTTGTTTTTGTCATTAAAACAAAAAAAGTAGCAATACCTTAGAAGTCTCTTTAAGGGCTTTATTCATGAAAAACGCACTTTCCAGTCCTGATCAGGATGTGCAGACATCAGTAATCTCGTTCGATTCTAACAACCTCTGGTCAGTTGTTCTGATCCTGTTCTGATCCTGCTAACCAGGGCGGCAGTTCAGCACTGTGCCTCACTTCGACATGTCCACGTGAGAGAGGTACTCTCAAGAAGAACATTCCTGGGAGGGTGCTGGGTACACTGCTGCACCCCAGGAAGGAAGGGGTCTGGGTACACTGCTGCACCCCAGGAAGGAAGGGGTCTGGGGACACCCCTGCACCCCAGGAAGGGAGGGCACTGGGGACACCCCTGCACCCCAGGAAGGGAGGGCGCTGGGGACACTGCTGCACCCCAGGAAGGAAGGAGTCTGGGGACACCCCTGCACCCCAGGAAGGAAGGGGTCTGGGGACACCCCTGCACCCCAGGAAGGAAGGGGTCTGGGCACACCCCTGCACCCCAGGAAGGAAGGGGTTCAGGCTTGCATGAGTTTCACCTGCTTACTTCCACATATCAGCTCATGGGATGAAGTTAGGAAAACACAACTGAAAATGGAAATCTTGAAAGTGTAACAGTCTTGAAGGAGACTCAGTGACTTGGGGAACAACAGGTGACTTTTCTTTCTTTTTTTTTTTTACTTTCTGTAGTGATGATTCTCCTTCTTCCCATAAATAAACAAACAGCAAGGCAACCCAGCTGCACCTGGAAGATGTGCCCCTCAGCAGCTCTCAGTTGTGACCATGTCTGTCACCCTGCAGTTCTTCTGGGCCAAACACTACCTGTTCTGACCTGGATCCCAGCCGCCCGCCCCCCCCCCCTGCCTCTCCTGATGCCGGGGCAGCCTGCACTTGCTCTCACCTGATCCCAGGACCCACCTCGACTTGCTTTCACCTGATCCTAGCAGCCACCATCTGCCCCACCTGGAGCCAAGGTGCCTGCCCCACCTGCTTCACCCGATCCCAGGGCCCACCTAGCTGCCTCACTGGATCCCACAGCTGCTCTGGTCTCTGTGATCCCGCCTCCCAAGGCTATGTCACACCCTGCTCAGAGCACCCAAGGCATGGTCCTCACCACCACCCACTTCCTGCCTCTCTCACTTGCCTTCTGTTCCTCTTCTGTCTTTAGTGTCTGGTGACCCCTCCAGGGCCCACAGCTCTGTTAGGTACACAGCTGATGCACAAGTACTGGTTAAATCAATGAATGATTGGATGAATGAAATACTTAGCCCATAAACACTTCCTGGGAGTTCCTGTTTGCTTATGCCCTCATTTGGGCAGCAGATACAAAATAACGAAGTATACTGGTTCTTACAAGCTCACAGACCTCTTGGACAATGTACCGGGACAATGCACTGGCTACATGAGACAGAAAGCCCTTTCGCACTTACCGGTGAGAAGCAGGAGGTGCGGGGCTGCGGCTGGACGCCTGGACTCCTCTTTCTGCCTGGTAGCTTGCCAGGGTGTTTCATGTCCCTTTGGGGTTGGTGTCCCTTGGCATCCCACGAGGTGCCTTGGCTGCCATATCAGCTTACTGTGGCTGAGGAAACAACGCCAAGGAAGGGTTTGAACACAAAACCTTCTGGAAGTCAGGTGTCTGGGAGGAGTCCCACTGGCCTGGAATGGGGGGTGTGGGCGGGGCTGTCCTGCCCAAGCACCAGGGAGAACTCCTCACCCATGCCTTTCTTCCAGCGTGTTTTGGCCTCCACTGTTATCTTGACCGTTTCTGTGTGGCAAAGCCTTCTCCTCCTACTTACCCAGACACACACGGTTGCATTTCCGGTGCACCAGGGTGATTGCCCCCTTGATAAGGACCATTCGGGTTCCAGGGTGCAAGGCTGCACGCCTGTCTTTGGAGGAAGTCACCACCCCTGAAAGGACAAGATTCTCCTCCCTTCCAGACCCTGCTGAAACCCCGTGGACCATGAGGGGAGGTGGGTAGTGAGGAGGGCCTGGGGAGAGGGAGGGGGAGGGGACTGGGCACAGCCCTACTGCTTGGGGAGGATACAGAGTGGCTGCTGCTCCCAAGGGGCAGGGCAGGTTGGAGAGGTGCTGGAAACCTGCGCTTAAAGGCTCACTTGTGGGCCCAGCACGATGGCCTAGCGACTAAAGTCCTCTCCTTGAACTCTCCGGGATCCCATATGGGCACCGGTTCTAATCCCAGCAGCTCTGCTTCCCATCCAGCTCCCTGCTTGTGGCCTGGGAAAGCAGTCGAGGACGGCCCAATGTCTTGGGACCCTGCACTTGTGTGGGAGACCTGGAAGAAGTTCCTAGATCCTGGCTTCGGATCAGCGCAGCACCGGCCGTTGGGGTCACTTGGGGAGTGAATCAGTGGAAGGAAGATCTTTCTCTCTGTATATCTGACTTTGCAATAAAAATAAATAAATCTTAAAAAAAAAAAAAGGCTCACTTGTTGGCGGGCCACAGGCTCTGGGGGGCTCCTGGGGCTGGCAGGAACCTTCCGGGGCACTGGGGAAAGGTGTCCCGAAGGAGAGCCTAGGCTCCGGTGGGGCCAGGGCTCCCCGGCCGCGCAGTTCCTTTCCGACCAGAGTCCCTTTCAGGTTTCTCCGAATTCCCGGATTCATTTCATCAACGTTTCGCCCTCGCACACCGGCACGCGTCTGGCCTGGGCTCAGGCGGTCTCCCTGGGGGAGGCGCAGGAGTCCACGCCGCCCCAGCGCCGCCAGGCGTGCCGGGAGCCCGCCCCAAGGCGGGCGCTGACCAGGGCCAGGTGGGAATCCCGCCAGGTTGGAATCCCGGCTGCGGAGACCCGAAGGCCACGTTAGGACGCAACAAATGGGAGGAAGCCAGATTAGCGCAGCTAGTGGCCCGTGGCTAAGGGCGCGTATGGAGACGGCGTCTCCAAGAAGGCGTGAGCCGACCCCACGGCGCGCCGCGGGTACCCATGCGCCGTGCGCAGAGAGGTGAGGGGTCTGGCATCAGCGCCCCCAAGAAAGTGGGCTCGGCAACCAGCGATTGGACGCGCCCCGGATTTCCCTAGCCAGACAAGGGGCGAGAGGGGGGACCAGGGGAGGAAGCGCCCCGGCCGCCTGGCCCCGCACGGGACCACCGGATTTCCAGAGACGCCCAGCTGAGTCCTGGGGCGCCCCGCCCGCCGGGGGCCGGGCCCCGCTTCTGACCCCGGAGTCCCCGCGGTCGGCAGAGGGCGCCCGAGCGCGGCTAAAAGGCGTCCCCGGGCGGCCCGCGGCCTCAGTGGCGGAGCGCGGCAGCCGGTGCGCGGCTGGGGAGCTGCCGCTGCGGGGGCCGGGGCGCGCGGGCACCGCGCACGGAGCAGACGGACGGCGGCGGGGACCCCTTCCCCTACCGAGGAGCCTCCGCTTCCCTGGACTCCAGCCAGCCGCCCAGCCCCCCGTGCACCCCGGGCTCCCGATGGCCCCCGAGGCCGGGGCGCCCTCGCGCGTCCCGCGCCTGCTGCCCTGGGCTGCGCTGCTGCTCCTGGCCGCGCTGCCCCCCGTCGCTGCCTCGGCGGGGGCCCCAGGTACTCTCGCGCGCTCCAAGCCGCCTGTCGCTGCGCTGGGCGGCGCCGAGACGCCCGCGCCCTGCTGGCTCTGTGTCGCTCCTTAAGTTGGCGCGTCGCCTCCTGGAGCGCTGGCACGGGCAAGCCGCCGGCGCCGGGGTCCCGGGGAGATTCGGGCACAAAAAGCAGGACAGGGACAGAGACCCTGGACGTGGCACGGGGTGCCTTTGCTTTATGTACCCGACGTGTCCCGTGCTCGGGAGGGGGTGCGCGGTGCTCACCTGTCCCCACCGAGGGATGCCCCCGGGAGACCGGCCGGAGGCTGTTGGAGGTCCGCTCCGGGGAAGGCCGGGAGCCGTTGCGGGGTTGTCTGGGGGACCCTGACGCGCTGAGTTGGGGGTGGGGAGCAGCAGCGCTCTTCAGAGCGCACCGGCGTGGGGGACACTTTAAGGTGGCATGAAGAAAGGCGTCAGGCCTGACAGGGTGCAGGAGAGAGCGGGTGAGAAGTTGGGGCGCAGGGAAGCCACCCTCCCCTGAAGCTTGCCCGGTGCTAGAATTGCATGCTGAGGAGCGACCCTCAGAGAAAATGCTGGCGCGCTCTCTCGCACTTCTCGGGCAGCGCGCGAGAGAAGTGTGTGGGGGCCCTTGGCCAGCTCCCAGTGCCGCCCGCTGCGCCCAGAGCCTCGCGCCGGGAGTTTGCAGGTCCAAGGAGGAGTGGTTCTCATTCCTGGCCACAGAGGTGTGGTCTAGACTGGGAGTGAGGACAATGAGGGCGCGATGGGGCGTCTTGTCTTGCTCCTCCTAGGAGAGCCTAGGGCGGGGAGGGGAGTGGGGCTCACAACCGTCTGGCTTGGCCCAGGGCTTGGTGCAGCTTTAGGCTCAGCGGTGGATGCCACTGGGTGATAAAAGGCAGTACCAGCTACTGCTACCGGGTCCTTCTCTGTGGCCGGTGGGTGATCTCTAGGAAAAGCCCACTCTAAGGATTCCTGCAGATTCTGAGTGGAATAAACTATTTTAGAGTCTACACTCCTCCACTCGCAGTCGGTGGCTTTGTTTTTCTTAGTTGTTTTATTTTATTTCTTATGAGTGCTGAAAGAATTTTTGCTTCAGCAAGTGATCCACAACCTTACTAGACTTGGCCCCGTTCCGTGCCTTCCGGCTCCTCTAGCCACCTGCCCCAGGCTGGCGGTGAGGGTGTCTGCAGCACGGGTGGTTTTGGAGCCAGCGCCCCGGGGTTCAGCCTGCCCCAGCCTGGCCTGGCGGCTGCTTCCTCTGCCTCCTGCTGGGTGAATCACCCGGGCTGTGGAATGTGGGAGCTGGAAGGCTGCTGGCGCTGGGCTCTGCTGTGCTGACGTGGGCTCTGCAGGGAGATGATGGCCAGACTGGGAACGGACACAGGAGGGCTAGCACATTTCCCCTGGAACGTCCACCTTCTTTCCACCGATAAAGGAGATGAACAGCTGTGGCTGCTTGTGGCTTGCTCCTGTGCTGTGGCCACAAACTTGCTCCCTGGGCTCATGCCGGAGGCTGCCTGGCTTTGCACAGCCCGGCACTGCTCCAGAGTTGGATGCTGGGGTCTGGAGGCAAAGTCATGGGTGAACTGCTCTCTCCTCCTTGGGTAGAAATCGCTGCTTGCACCGAGTAGGCCACTTCTGCCCGGCATGGCCCCAACCCCACAGCAGAACTTCTGTGTGGCAGACCACCATGGTGCCACAAGCACTTATTATTAGTATTCTTATTATTAAAGATTCATTTATTTTTTTATTGGAAAGGCAGAGTTACAAAGAGAGAAGAGACAGAAAAATCTTCTGTCTGTGGTTTCAGTCCCCAGGTGGCCCCCAATGGGCCCCCAATGGCCCAAAGGCCAGAGTTGAGCAGCTCTGAAGTTAGGAGCCAGGAGCTTCTTCCAGGTCTCCCATACAGATGCGGGCTCTCAAGGCTTTGGGCCTCTACTGATTTCCCAGGCTATAAGCAGGGGGCTAGATGGAAAGTGGAGCAGCTGAGGCATGGAATTCTGGTGCCACAGACAGAAGGTTAGGTCGCTATGCCACGATGCTGACCCTGCCTTTAAAAATAGAAGCAAAACCAAAAACAAACAAAAGACAGAAGTGACTTGCAAGGCTCAGTAAGGCCCTTCCACTTCGTATCAAGAGGGCCACGCAGTGCCATCCTCACATCCCTCCTTGTTTGGGTGGCCGTGGCTATGTTAAAATGGTCTGGGAGGATGCATTTTTTGAAGCACATGGTTGCCCATGTACACATGTCTATCCACAGTGGATTCTGTGGTGGCTCTGAGAGGCTTAGATCTCTGTGCAGAATAAAGACTCTGTCAGAAAAGGCTGCACGGTGAGACTCGATTTGAAGGTAATGCTGAGATGCTGTTTTGCTTTTTTTTTTTTCCACGTTGACATTTGCATGGAAGGTGCAAAAGCTTGGCAGGTGGAAGTGCTGGCACCTGGCCCGGGATGGAGGCAGGGGCGTGGCAAGGCACTAGCAGTCGTGGGACTGTGTCAGAGCTTTGCAGTAAGACCTGTTATGTTCAGTTAGTGTCCTTGATGCCGCAGTAAAAAGAGTTGATTTTCCTGAATCTCTATTCTGGAATTCATTCTTCCTGATTTCCTATGTAAACAAATGAGAAGGGCCTGTGGCTGACTTTTGCTGGCTGCCCAAGTTCCATGGGAGCCACAGAGGGAGCAATCTAGTTGCAAGTTGAGCGAGTTGAGTTGTTTTTTTTCCCCTTCTTTTTAAACAGACAATGATGTTTAACAAAAAAGAACAGCTATAGATGACCTGTAGCTATTCAGGCTTGGGTCCTGGGCCATCATTTTCCTGAGGATGCGTGGAAGGTACCTGCTTCCTCCAGTGAACTAACTGCAGGGATCACCCAACTCAAAATCTGAGGTTTCAGGTGAAAATGCAAACCAAGCTATCACCATCAACATAAACTTGAGACTGTCCCAATTTGGAAAAAGCTTTCTAGTGAGGTTGGCGTTGAGGCATATGAACGGGGGCTTTCGTCCACATCTGGGGAACCTGTATTAGCAAGTGAATTCATCAGGCCAACTGGCCAGTGTATAGGATTGCAAACCCACTCGAAGTGCAAGCTAGCTGGGTGGTTTTAATGCAATCAAACGTGGAAAATGCTCGGAGTTTCAGATTCTGCCACGCAGATAACACATACGAAGCGCTGTATGTTAAAGAGTAACCAAAATTATCTCACAAGGCTACTGAAGTATTCTTTTCAACCACAAACCGTGTGAGGCCAAGTTTTCTTCAATCAGAACAACATGCGGCGACAAATGGAAAAGATAAGCAGAGGGAAAGCCCAGCTATCTTCTCCTGATCTGCTTTGCCAAAATATAAAAATAATGCGGCCCTTCTTGCTATTTTTTCTTTGTTTTGGAAAACAGTTATTTTTTTTAAGTGAAATCTTTTTCTATCCTCATGCCATGGCATATTATTAAATTTTAAGATGAATTAATGCATTTATTACATGTTTATTTTAATTTCTAGTGCAACACTCATAAACGTGACCTGTGTGGGCTTCTCATTGGTTGAAGAGGAGAGGGGAAAGCCAAGTCCAGGACGTTGGGGAACCAGCAGGGTGGAGGGAAGAGAGGCCTTTAGCAGCCAGGGTTCCTGGGTTGGGCATCAACATGGTCATGTGCCCACTGGTGGCCTTGGCTGCTCAGTCTGACAGGAAGGAGACTCCCCAAACCCCTACGAGCCCATGGAGCCCTGCTCTGGCACACCCTTTGTCCACATTTGCAGGGACTTCCTGCTGTGAGGCCTGCACACAAAGCACCTGCTATAGCCATTAACTGGACACCAACTCCACTGCCACAGCCTGTTGCCGGCATCGCCTGCTAGAAGGAACGGAGTGGAGTCTTTGGGGAGGTTGGTGGGGCTGGCAGCGGCAGTGGCACCCATGTCTTGGTCAACTTTTTTAAAATATAAGGTTTACTTACTCTTTTTGGAAAGACAGATGAGATTTACAGAGAGTGCACAAAGATCTTTCGTCCACTGGTTCACTCCCCCAGTGGTCACAGTGACTAGAGCTGAGCTGATCCAAAGTCAGGGGCCAGAGCTTCTCCCCGGTCCCCCATGTAGATGCAGGGTTCCAAGACTTTGGGCCTTCCTGCTTTGCCAGGGAGCTGAAAGGGAAATGGAGCAGCCGGAACATAAACCGGAGCCCCTGTGGGATCCTGGTTTTTGCAAAGTGAGGATTTAATCATTGAGCCATCAACACCCTGCCCCTCTGGCTGACTTTAACAGAAGTAGGCTGGGGATTCCGGAGGCAGGGGGCATTGGTTATGCCTGAAAGTAATCCTTGCTTTGCCAAGTCCTGTGGCTTGAAGTCACAGTGCTTGCGCGCTGCGGGCCTTAGAGGGCGCTCCTGGCCTTCCGCCTCCCACAGGCCACGGAGCATTCTGCAGTAGCTGTGCTGTTAGGGCACAGAGAGCACGAGGGTGCAGAAAGAGGCCTCTGGCGCCTTGGCTTTCTCTGTGGTGCTTGCCTTCTGCACCTTGTTCATGAAGGTTAGACATGCTCAGCAGAGCGCTGGTCAGGAAGGAATCGGAGGCCTTAACCTAAGCCTGGGTAGCAGCCCATAGATTTTGGGGGGTACCTACCCCTTCCTGTGCTGCAAGGTTCAGCCAAAGCTGCAGGGGCAGCAGGTGAAAGCACAATGAGTAATGAGTCAGGAGTTGCCTCCTTCACCCTGGCGAGGTGACTCTCCGTGTCTCTCCACCCTCCATGCTATGCTTTAAAAAATAGTTTTTGGGAAAAGCAGAGTTACAGAAAGGGAAGGGAGAGAGAGAGAGTGAGAGAGGTCCTCCATCTGCTGGTTCACTCCCCAAATGGCCACAAAAACCCGGGCTGGGCCAGACCAAAGCCCAGGAACTAGGAGCCTCATCTGGGTCTTCAAGCACTTGGGCCACCTTCCCCTACCTTCTCAGGAGCACTAACAGAGAGCTGGATTGGAAGTGGAGTAGTCAGGACTTGAACTGGTGCTCAGGTGG